AAACTTAAGATTTTGCGGACAAATCCCACTCCAAACAGCGTATAAACCATACACTCATTACATTCGTTCCTGGTATTGTTATAAAAAAACATTATGCAAAACGGATCATCATAGTGACCTGACTGTAAATTAATAAATAGTAAAAAAAAAACAATTCATTATAAGACTGTAATAAATATGCATAACGATAGTGGTCTCGTATATTCCACAAAAAAAAATAATTAGCAAAAATAGTAAAAAAAATAGGGTTATTCTGATTTTTATTTTTTTATAAAATAAACAATAGTATTGTGCTGAATATGGGTTTGCTCCAATATGTCAAACGAAAGGTTTTCAAATTTAGATAGAAACTCACTAAAGATAAAAAGTCCCCCTTCTAATTTTAGTGATGAGAAATTTTTGGACAGATCAAACGGTCCTTCTGTTGATGGCGTTGCTCACATTCTAAATGTTTCAAATGAGATATTAATAAATATTTTTAAATTTGTAATTTCGCCAAAGCACTTTGCGCTTAGTTGTAAACGGTTCTCTATTATTGCAAGAGACGACCAGACGAGAGCATAGTGGATTATTTGTCAATACGGAAGAGCCCATGCCCTTTTTCATGCCATAAGGTTGGGACCAACTTTCATCAATCTTCCAGTAGCAAAAGCTATCGTTGATAAAGGGGCTATTCTATCGAGATACTTTGTTCAAAGGCTTCTTATTAACTTTGGCAAACATGACCAGCAGTTAATCGAATTAAAAATTGCTCATAATATAGTAGGACAAGTGGGCATTAATAGAATAAATAATAATGTTCCATGGTCTAGTGATCTGCAAATTCCCATTTTCACTTATTTAATGACTGAAGCACAGCAGCAATTAGAAACAGACGACCTGTGTGCGAAGGGTAACGATATGGAGCTTTTCCACTTTCTTTCTGCAGGTCCACATGTAATAAATCATGCACGAGACATTTTACGTAAAAATATGAGTTCCATCAGAAATTTGATTTTAAACATGAAATTTATTCCGTTCCCACCACGACCGCAAAAAAAATTCAATTCATATCACGTGCAAGTTAATTCGGAAGAATATCCAACTAAAGACGGTTATGAGAACAACCGTCAGCTCAACATTATCGCACGCGCAATATTGATCTATGAAGACTTAGTTCATTTGTGGAAAAAGATCGGGTACTATGAAATATGCGAAGACACTAATGATCTCGTAATACGAGGTGCGATTTTTATTCTTTTTCATCCTACACCCTCTTCAGAATGGAAAAAACCAAGTGTACAAGATGTTAATAAGAGGCTCACAGAATTATTGAATATTGGATTTCAATTAAATTATAATGTTATAGCAGATGTTTTACATTTACTTGAATATAGATTGGATGATATAGGTAACACATTAATGGAATCATTTCTACAAGTCAAGCAAGAAGTCCCCGAAACGTTTCTATATCACTGCTTGATAGAAACATTAAGACCTGAGCGTACATATAAAATGAATGTCTGGGACTTCATCTTTTCGTTCATGTCAGAAAAGTCGAGGGCGAATTCAATAAAGCATTTAACCATCATTTGAGTAACGTTGCATCAATTATCATCTTTTCAGATGTACACGTAAAACCACTTGCTTCATCTCCCAAATTTTATAATTGGGTACTTCGAAAATTCGGAGCTGATGCATCAATAACCGCTCTGTGCTTTGAGGATCTCTTGGAAACACGTATTAGTCTCGATATTCAACTTCAAACATCACATGGAATGAATCAATGTACATTCAAGGCAATCTGTAATACCTTTAAGATTTACTGTAACACGAAAAATTTTTTCTTACCTAGACACTTGAAGACAATTTCACGATGCGCTAGCGATGAAATTCTTGGCCCATTATTTGAACATTATTTAGCTGTCCTTTTTGATTTAGAAGTAACTTTTCCATTACCTATGGAAACCACTGGGGATTCGAACGCAGTGCAAACGAGTGAAGAACCAGACAATATGCAGGTTGAAGATGATCTAAATAGTGATGATCAAAATGGTTCCCAATATAATGACAACAAATTACAAAATTCATCGATTAAAAGGAAGCCCGAAACTAAAGATACTAAAGAAATCAGAGAATTATGGAAACAAAAATTAGAAGACATGTATTATAATTCGATTTATGATGAAAGTATCATAACCAACCCTTTTAGGAATTATCTTCGCGTATTTGTTGAAGAAAAAATACCATATGCAAATGAAAAATTAATGACAATTGATCAAAGTCTTTCTAAAAGGAGAAAACATTAAAGGAATAAAAGAATTGTGAAGACAAAACTTTGATGGCATGCATTATAATTCGATTTATAATGGACTAGCTTCTTTTGAATTGTTTTTGTGAACTGTTATGCAGAAGAAAACCCGAAGTTAATTAGTTCTTTTTAAAGGAGGATATTAAATCGACCCACATATTTCTATAAATAAAATATTCGATATTATATATGTTTATTCTCAGTCACATTTCTTATAAATATAGATTTATTAAAAATTAACAAAAAAAAACAAAAAAACTGGCAAAGAATTTTTTTATTTACGGTTTGTTCAAATTTTAACCATAATTCACTAAACCTTAATTTGTTTTCTTTTTCATTATTCTCTATTATTATAAATTAGTTACTAAACTTCTTTTGTTTTTTTTTTACAGGTCCGTCTTATTATTAGAAAGTGTAAGTAGGTTATCGATTGCGCAGGATAAATGCTGACAAATTATTTTGATGTATTTTCATCTTTATTGCAAATGTTTATTTTCCTTATTTTTTTTGTAAGTTCATATGTTTTCATTTCTTATAAGGAATTGAACCTTTATAAGAAACATGTACGCTTGCTTTATCGTAAACTTCTAATCCAGATTACAATGTTTACTTTTTTATTTTGCTGAATGTTTTAGAGATGAATAATCTCGACTTCGTAATAGTTATGTTTCTTTATAAGAAAAGTTTTTTATTATATTATTTAGTATGTTATATGATATATTTTATGGCTAAATTTCTACACATTTTTTTTGAATAAATACGAGTATCGATAAGTTGAAAATTGTTAAATTATTTAGGTCATCAAATCGTCGCAACAGCCATAGGATCAATTGCTAGTGGCAAGGCTGATTTGTGTTTTAGCAATAAAGACTAGATAAATCAATATTAAAAATAAGTAATAAAATTTCGAAATATTGTAGAGGGTAAATCAAAAAGTAGTTAGAGATAGCATTTTACTAATTATTTTATTTTCCATATATTAAATAAAGTTGTTCTTTTCAGTTCTAATGGTAGTAAAATAATTAAAATCGGAGCACTGCTTTAGTATATTCAAAAGTGCATAAATTTTCATGAGTGTAAACTTTTGAGAGTTTATTTTGTTTATACTGAAGCAGTTATCCGATTTGATTTATTTTTCTACAACTAGAATAGGAAAGACCAGCTAAACATCTTTACTACTTGGTTAAAATGCTAATTGATGTTTTACTCTATATAACAATAAAGTAAATTTACAGGTTTGCGCGAATTTGAATTTAACAATGTTAGTTAACGTCAGAGAGAAATAAGTCAGCTTAAATCTAAAAATTGTCGCAGCTAAAGCTAGAAATTTTAAATACATTGATATGAAATCAATTTTTTTAGCACATTTTTTTTTTAACTTTTTTTTATAGTATCTTAGGATTTAGGATTAATTTTGATAATAAAAATGTATAAGTGGATTATGATAGGGCTTGTATTTTTGAAGGTTCTAATTCCCAGTTTTCAGCTTTAGCTGCGCCAAAAATTTTGCCGGCCATTTTATAAGCTCAAAGTTTGGACTGCGTAGAGATTTGTAGCACAACCAAGTTTCATAATTAAACTTTCGCGACTTTAATAGTATAATAGCTTATTTGTAGTCTAATAATAACTATAAATATAGGATAATAGAACGTTGGGTAAAAGAGTTTGGGATTTTAGTTTGGGATTTTAGTTTTGTCTGTGGTCTTAGGTTTTAGTGCGTTAGGACGTACTAGGTTGGTTAGTTGAATAAGGATATTAGATACTTTAGTGTCTGGGACACAATAGAGAGATATTCGTTTAGTACTTTATGGTGCCTTGTGTGTGTTAATAAAAAATTGGTATTTCATATTAATGCTTACGACCCTAAGCTAAATTGGCTCGGCCGGTACAAAGTCTCTCCCCTGGTCGTGACAAGATTCTCCGTGAAAATGCTGAAAGTACAGTTAGCGTTCCAGTCATGCGATGTGTTACTTTTGATTCAAAATTCTTATATTATTTGGTTGATAATGAAACAAAAAGACTAAATTCAACTTATATCTAGTAGCAATTAGCATAATGGATTATTTACTAAGTTTTATACAAGTGACTTCCGTTAACATCAACCTCGTCAATATAACTTAAGCCATAAAACAAATTTTTATAAATTTTATATATCAAAATTCCCTTCAATATATCAACTAAATATGATTTCTAATTAACATCACTATCAACATGATTTAAAACCAATTCAAATAGGTTGATATTAACGAGGGTCACCTGTATTTTAAAATATTTAACTATGAGGTTATACTAATTAGAATTTCATTTACTAAAAATGAGTCAAAGTTATAATTAAAACTAGATATCATCTAGTTAGGTATATGAAGATGAGCCAATGGTTAAATTTACAAACTTGCAAAATTATATTATTAATATTAAAATTTGTCGAATTTCTTACACATCTTTATGAACATATTTATTTTATCAAAAATTTTTAAATTCTTATAATAATTTTGTTGCTAAAATTTAAAACTATTATTAGAAATTAGGAAGAGATTGAGAGTTATAGGTTAAAAAGTTAGATCTAAAAATGAATTAGAATGAGTTTTTTTGGGATGCTGGATTTTTCCTTAAAATATCAAGTAAACTAGTTTTGAAAATAACAACTGTGGTGTCAAATTCCACTGATGTGATTTAGCAATGCCAATTATTAGTTTTAATAGTAGTCAGAAAGCCTAAACAACTAAGCCATAGATTTTTATTAATACTACGTTTTATTAATTTTAATAGAATAATGAATTCGTGTACAAGAATATATAATTTATTAGCTAAGTTATTTTAAATATATATATTTTTAAATAATTACTAAAATTATATGATGACGTTATTTAAAGCTGCGATTCAAATAAGGCCAGACCAGTTTAATTTGGTCGTCTACATTACCTCTCCTTTTGACCCCCTCTCTCTTAGTTAAAAATTTTTTGGGATATATGATTTTGGCCGGAGAGCTAATGACGGGCGGAATTAAGATTAGAAAACGTAAGTATCCGAAAAATTCCGAAGAAAAAATGAACGAACAGAAAAGACGAGCAATGTCAGGCCGATAATTTTCGATTGAAAAAATTTTAATAAAATTTACTATGTATACATTCCATTTTCTCCCTCTCCCCCTCTCTTTTGAAAAATGGTTGTAATGTAAACCATCAAATCAAGTTGTATATAAGGGTGTTCTCAAGCGCCTAAATCAATTGATCGGAAATAAATTTTTAAATAGTCGGAAGTCGAAAAAACTGATCAAGTGAGTTGCCGTTTCACTGAAAAAAATCTGGAGGTACATACCATCTTTTTTTTTCATAGAGTTAACGCTGATTGGCTAAAACTGCTTATTAACAGAGTATCAAAAGAGATTGTTCAAGCACTTTACTTTACGTCATGGATCTTCAGCAAAATTGTAATCGTTTGATAAATCGTTCAAAAATTATTGCGCTGCTTTTTATATTAGAAGCCCTTACCGCAAATAAAAAATCCCAGGAAACACAAAGTGCACAACTAGTCAATATTTATTATCTTCTAACATTTATGCCAAATATGGCAATTCCATATATACTTTTCTTGCCTAATATAAAAGCCCAATGCCAACAATGACCTAAAACTATAGGATTCTGGCAGGAAGTTTTTCCAAATCTAACAGACAAAGGAGGTTACAACTCATTTCGGCATCACTTTCATATTACCTTGGCTACTTTTAACTATATTGTTGTACAATTAGAAAACCATCCAGCCTTTTTTTCTGAAGCCATTAATGCAATGTATGTATGGAAGCAAATTGCCATAGTATTATGGCGATTTGCAAATGGTGCAGGCATACAAACACTGGAACAAACACTTGGAGTTAGTCAAGGATCAGTATGCCACTTTACTGATCAGTTTTTAGAAGCATTGCTTGATATAGAAAAAGATCGAATTATGTGGCCAAAAGGTGTTCGATTAGCTGCAGTAACACATGGATTCGAATATAGTGAAACTGGTCTGGGAAATCGTAAATTACCTAATGTAATTGGGGTTATAGATGGGTCATATATATCAATTCACTCTCCTTCTAAAAATGGAGCTCAATTTGTAAATTGTAAAAGTTTTCATTTGATTAACTTCCTTGGAATTGTTGATTTTCAGAAACATTTTACATACTTACATGTGGGAGAAGCAGGTTTAATATATATATTTTTTTTTATATATATTATATTATTAGAGTAGGTGCTAGAAAAAGGGTCAAAAATGACAATTTTTTCAAATGTTTTTTTAGTAGTTATATTAATAAAATTTTGCAGTATAGCTTTTTAAAGTTTGCAAATTTATAATACATACAAAAATCGATTTTCTAAAAATCTTTTCTTGTTATTTTTGAACCTTTTTCCAGCACCCAACCTATATATATTTATTTATTGATTTTTAAATAAAATTTATTATAAAAGCAGCATTCATGATGCCTGTATGTTTTATCGCTCTTCACTTTATCGTGAAATTTTATTACACCCTGAACAATGGGTTCCTGATGGTATATACATAATCGCTGATATTGCATATCTTTTGAAAACTTATTTGATGAAAGGATTTGCTAATCATGAATCATTAAATCATTGTGAATGACGTTTCAATAAAGTCCTTTCTTCAATGAAAATGGCTATTGAGCAAGCATTCAGACAGTTAAAAGAACAGTGGAGAATTTTGCTAAAGGAGGTTTATTGTACAAATCTAGAACATATTGTTAAGATTATCCATACATGTTGCATTTTACATAATTTGTGTATCGATAATGATGATTTGCTATCTTTAGAAGATGCTGTAATAGAAGAAAATGATGTTGATAATACTGATATTGAAGACAATGAATTCAATAATAATACACTTATAGTTAATGAAAAAAATGATAGAATTGCAGGCTCATAAAAAAGAAATTATTTAACAGATCATCTCTTTAATATTTCACAATTGTAACAGAATTTATTACAATGTATATTTAATTTTAAGCAAATAAAAA